TTTGGCCCCTAATTCCTTTACTGTTGGTACCATAACCCCCAAAATCAATCCCAACCTTCCTTTTGTGGTATTGAACCTTGTGGTAAAATTTCATAGAGATCCATTCACTTAAACTAAAGTTAGAGTGCGAAAACTAATGTGTCTTCGGACGACGACGACGCCAACGTCATACCAATATACGACCACAAAAATTTTTTTGCGGTCGTATAAAAACTATTTCACTCAATTACATAAAAAATGGTGGGTAAAAACCCCAATTTGTGAATTCTTATCTGGAGCTCTGTGGTGATAAAAGATAATCTTAGGTAAACACTCGTTGAAATAGCATGTCATAAATCAATACAGTGGTCAGTGACCGGAAATTTAATTACACGTGTATTGTCAGAGTAACTCTTCAATCCTTTTAAATCCCGGAGGTTATGTTTTGACATATGTGTATTAGTTCGAGATAAATAATGAATTTTGAATGCTTTTGTTAACCTTTGGACCATAAATTCAGTTCGACTCAACCAAAATTTCGACTCATCAGGAGTCGAATTACATATATTTATATGGAACAAAGTTCAGGACCATGAGAAAACTTCGACTCATCCGAAGTTTCGAGTCAACCGAGTTCGAGACAACAAGAGTTAACTGTATAACAACAATATAATAGTGATTACGGTGAGGTTGAATTTCCTGTCATTTATTCATCATCCAGGCACGAACTTGTCTCAGAAAAAAATATATCTCTGTACATTAACCTCAGTTTCAGGTATAGAGATGTGATTTTTTTCTGAGACAAGTGCTTTTGACCATCCACAATATCTTGCGGTCATCCGATGTTCAGTACTTCAGTACTTTGATTTTTCTACTTTTAGCAACATTGACCTTTGACCCCAAATCAATCAGCTTCTTCTCCTTCTCTATACACCAGTTTCATTCCAATCAAGCAAGTGAAACTAGAAACAATTTTTCAAATAAAGTTCCATTATTTAGGAACAGCAAACTTGACCTTTGAGTCTGACCTATTGACGTGAAAATCAAAAGGCTTCTTTCTCTTCCCTGTATCTTCTATGTTTAAGTTTCATTCCACTCAAAAAAAATTCGGGGAGCATCAAAATAATGATGTTCAAACTCTTAATTCCAGTAGTCTTCAGTGTTCAGCTAAAGCAGACAACAAATGGGGGTTTGACATTTTAACATAATTCAGAGGAAAAAATATTGGTTGATCTTTTCCAGCTTTTGACTTCATCTTTTCCCTAGCACAGGTACACTTATCTGGTTATAAAATTTACATGTGAAGTTATTATTCTAAAATCAAGCACCAATTAATAAATACCCATCATTTTAAAATAAAATCAAGGTTATTGAGTTGTCTGACAGCTGAGATTTACCTATCCACCCCAAAGGCAGAGCTCCAGATAAGAATTCACAAATTGGGGTTTTTACCCACCATTTTTTATGTAATTGAGTGAAATAGTTTTTTCAATTGCATTATTAATTCCAATTCACCCCTAGGCCTCAAGAAAATATCAAATTGAGTTTTTCACCACCAAGCTCCTTAATGTATTGGGTTTTTTCATCAACAAGATCTAGGTATGTTATAATGAAATTACATCAAACCCAGATGTTCATCAATCTTAAATATGTTTCTTTCATTATATATGTGATAGCTGTTTAATTTAGTTTATACCCGTACGAGCAATTGTTTGTTTAATTTGTGTCTAGTTTAAACCGTTTTGTATTTTCTCTCAACTTACATAAACTGGTGTCACTAGCTATAGTTGGACAGTAACTAATTACTTTTCTAGAGCACATACTATTATCACCTGTCAGTTTATTTGGAGTAGGTAAGGCTAAGTTTTTAGACTTTTATGTAGTATTTGTGAACATTGGGTCCTGTAAGACAGTCTACCAGTCCTATCAACTGTTTGCCAGACCTACTTTTTCTTTACATTATAAGTAGTTCCCATAGTTGATTTAAGATACACCTTAAAACCTTGACAAGAACGAGCAGGTTAAGGATATGACCAGGGGGGGGGGGTTTAATGACTGAGACTACATTCAATTTAAATAATCCTGCAACATCAAATTAATAAATGACAATGTTGTGACTGCACTTGCCAATAAGACAACTATCTATAGCATAAGAACAATTAGACCAAACACAAAGAAAGTGGCAAGCTACATTTACGTCAAAACAAATATGTGTGTTCACTCATCAACTAAAATGAAGAAAAAAAATTACTCTTTTAAAACTAAAATAATACTTGAATGTTTTTGTTTAATTTTACTTACATAAATCTGGTCTTTAGTTGTCCCTTATTACAACTTTTGGTTTCCAATGATTTTCAACTACATAATTGATTTGGCCTTTCACTGTTCCGACTGATTTAGTTCTTGCACCACTGATTAGTCATCTGGAGACCAGACCTGTGTTGTACTAACAGTAACAATGTTCTCGTTCAGACACGCATTATAGCCCTGGACGCGCCATTGCACGCTTCCTGATAACACTAGCTGAGTTTTGTTATCATCATAATTTTCCCTCAGCTATCAAAAGGAAGCTGAAAACATGCTCCTATTCAATATTTTTACTGAAAATTTACTTTCGTTTTAATTCATTGCTATGTGTAATGATAAATCCCGATCAATACGAAAATAATTATGATCACATGACTTATGCTAATTGGATAAATGCAGAGAAGATCGAAATATGTGTATTTGATGTAATGCTCTATTTTTAGAACGAAAGGACATTTCCAATCATAAATATTACAAAAATAGATTTACGCAACGACAATGTAATAGATAAGGGTAAATAACGCACACAATAGCGACTAGAAGGGTTAAGAACGCATGGTTTTGACATATAATTGGGTTTTCCTTTGCATGAATTGGGTTTTTGAACGCTGCAATCGTCAATTGAATAGGGTTTTTGAACGCTGCAATCATCAATTGAATAGGGTTTTCAATTTTTTTTATTGCGTGATCACGCAAATACGCAGCTTATCTGGAGCTCTGCCAAAGGTAAACTCTTTTGTGCTGGACAACAATAAATCTTCTTTAAGTTGTTTCTCATGTTTATCTGATTTGTATCTAAATAATTTCAGCAAAAATGATTAATTCAAAGATATAAATCAAAAACTTGAATGATAAAAGTAGGGATGGCAACTAGTACTGGAGTGTTTGATCAGAAAAATTTCTAGAACATAATTCATACTCAGATACTCGAATAAATCATTTTTTATATTTCCTCCTCAGCAATATTTCCACCAGAGTGTATATCATTGGATATTTCCCTTAGTTGTAACATGAAAAGTGTTTACTTTTCACACTGAAAGCAAGAAAAATGACAGTAAAAATGCTCCAATCATTTCCACCTATATGAATTTCCAAGTCTACAAATATGCAGGACAAGTTTGAATTGAACAAGAATGTGTCCATAGTACACGGATGCCCCACTTGCACTATCATTTTCTATGTTCAGTGGACCATGAAATTGGGGTCAAAACTCTAATTTGGCATTAAAATTAGAAAGATCATATCATAGGGAACATATGTACTAAGTTTCAATTTGATTGGACTTCAACTTCATCAAAAACTACCTTGACCAAAAACTTTAACCTGAAGAGGGACAGACGGACGAACGGACGGACCCACAGACCGAAATACATAATGCCCCTCTACTATCATAGGTGGGGCATAAAAATCATATTCTAGAGTAAGTAATTAACAATATTAAAGGTAACAATTTTAATGCACCAGATGTGCAGATCTCTTCAATGATGCTGGACTCCACAATATTTGAAGATCCAAAAGCTAGTTTAAACTTTGAAGAGCTGATAAAACCAAACAGAATAAAACCAAACAGGACCAAAAGTAAAGCCAAACCCTGACAAGGAAGCAGAGCTATTCACAACCTTAATTTAAAATGATTTCCAAAATTTTCCTTTTTTCATGCCAGTACAGAATATAAAAATAACACTATAAAACCATAGCACTTTTGTGGATTTACCTTCATCGGGAATGCTTAAAGCCAAGGGTGTACAAGACCAAAATAGTACTGGCTACTGGGCTGGTGATAACCTCAGGGACTAACAGTCCACCAGCAAAGGTATCAAACCAGTTGTAGTAATAAAGATGAGTAAAATAGTATTGATGTACGGACATAAGAGGTCTCTAAACACAGTACCACCAAATGGAACTTTTTGTTATTGGAAGCCGTATTAATTATGTGAATCAGCAGGGGAAAAAATTTGTAGCATATAAAATATAGGATATGCTAAAACACATAATTAACAGCAACTGATGACCGGTTTAGGTCCTACACGAATCATTGATTCTGCCTCTGAAGAAGGTCCATGAAGGACCTAAACTTGTTAGGCTATGAATCATCACCAGGCACGGTTAATGACCGGAATGTGTTTTTCCGTATCCTATATTTAATACAGTTGTAGTAATAACATTATTGGTATCAAATTAACTGCATCAGATGCACAACCAATGTCTCTTCAATGATGCTATAGTGTGAATGTCAGTCTACTGATGTTACTCACTTCAAATGATTCACTGTCAATTAACAGAACTATCAATGTACAAGTTAACATCAGTTCACAGAATCCATATCCAAGTACTTACATATTGTTTTCATGTCAGTCATTGTCCAATTATTACTTCAATAATTTGCCTTTTGTTACAATGCTAAAGGATATCAAATAAAATTGAGAATGGAAATGGGTCAAAGAGACAACAACCCGACCAAAGAGCATAAAACAGCCCAAAGGCCACCAATGGGTCTTCAATACAGCGAGAAATTCCGCATCCAAAACCTGGATTAAAAAAATGTCAGGCTGGTTCAAATTTTTTTTGAAGCCCTGTTTCAGATGAATATTCCCACATCATTAATCCACATTAAGCTTTATTTCAATTTTTTTCAATGAAGGATAAAATAATAAATATTTACTACGTTCCCAAAGTTATTTTTATGACTGAAGATGTTGTAAGAATGTGATTACCTGTAAAGCAAACTTTCCATTAAGCTGAAATTTGTCAGAATTCTTGAGCTGTTCTGGCAGGCATTGTGTACCTAGTTCATGTAAGTCTGATAACAACCATTGTTCAAATACCAATTCATTAACCTGTTGTTGTGATTGTAAACTTCCCTGTAAATTTCAAGTACAGTGTCATATAATTACCAGTATATAAATAAACTTTGTAAAGAGAGGCTAAATTATGCTGAAGTATCAGTACCCCCCAAGCACAGTGATTTGTGATTTATACTAAATTATTCAGTGTCAGCAAGATACATAATAATTGTCCTGCATGCAATACATATGAAGAATATAGTTTGTATTCATTCTACTCTTGTCTATAGTGTGAGAAATATTAATATACATATGGACATCAATAAATTCCAGGAATCTACTTTCTTATCATTCAAATTTAGTTATTTATACTGAATGCTGTAATTTTATAGGTCAGGAGCACTGCCTGTAAAATGTTAAACATGGATATATTCATGCTGATTGTATCCATAGGAACAAATAGGGCATTATCTTTATGTTGTGATGAAATTTAAAGAAAACAAATGTTGAGAATGTTTGACAATAATTGACAGATTTTAACCACAAATTTTTTTCAATTTTGACATAAAAGGTGAAATTTTCTCCCAATGTCACTTTCAATTGAATAAAAATATTTTGTGTACAGAACTTTAATCTGAGACATCCGTCACATCCTGTGTTCTGTTTAAAATAGTCAATTAAATCTGAGTTAAAACCCAATTTTTCCATATATATTCAAAAATGTTCACATTATAATGAACTTGTATATTAAGTTTCAATTTGATGTGACAATAACTTCATGGTAAACTACTTTATTGAACTAAAACTTTTACTTTACACATTTCCAAGTATTTTATTTCCAAGTTCAGTGAAATAAGAACTCAAAATCCTAATTTGGCATACTGTGGATTCATTATTATTCGTTGGATACCAATTTTCGTGGGTTTCTTTGTTACAGGGGAACCACAAATTTAAATGTTCAAACATATTACTTATTTTCTATAGGAATGTATGCAGACTTTTGCAAAACAACAAAATTAAATATCCACAAGTATTTGTACCAACGAAAATAAATAAATCCACAGTATGTATTAAAAATATAAAAACAAGAATGTGTCCATAATACACTGATGCCCCACTCGCACTATCATTTTCTATGTTCAGTGGACCGTGACATTGGGGTCAAAACTCTAATTTGGCATTAAAATTAGAAAGATCATATCATAGGGAACATGTGTGCTAAGTTTCAAGTTGATTGGACTTCAACTTCATCAAAAACTACCTTGACCAAAAACTTTAACCTTAAGCGGGACAGACAGACGAACAGACGCACAGATCGAAAAACATAATGCCCCTCTACTATCGTATGTGGGGCATAATAAGGAGATGCTGTATGATTGCCAATAAGACAACTATCCACCAGAGACCAAAGGATGTGAATGTATGGCCATCACAAATCAGCACAGTATAGTCAGCTATAAAAGGCCTGGCCATGACAAAATATGAAACTACATTACATACAAAAAAGTTCACATTACAAAGAACATGTGCAAGTTTCAAGTTAAAGTGGCCATGACTTCATATGGCTAACTACCTCTCACCTTACGTGGAAGGAAGGGTGGACTGACAGAAGGATGCATATTCCTTAAACCATAATGCCCCCCTTCCCCCACTATTATGGGAGGGCCAAAAAATTTAAGAAAATCTAAATCCTTTTAACATCCACATATCCATTACACGAACAACTGTTCTACGAAACTGAAGTTTTCTTGTAAACTGTAAGACGAGTACTACAGATTCCAGTCTGAATATTATTCTGTGCAATTACTTTGGATTGGATATATCCATCAGTAGGGCATAATTACTTACTTTGAAGATTGTAATCTGTGGGATTTAACGGTGAAATACATCATTTGTGGATTGCCTGCTTGTTAGCTAATAACTATTGGATTTATCAAACTTGATAAACTTTGGAATTAACAGTACTTATTCAAGACATACTTGAATTATAATAACCTATGTTATAAGAACGTCTACTTCTTGTTACCTTGTATTGACCTATGTTATAAGAACGTCTACTTCTTGTTACCTCGTATTGACCTATGTTATAAGAATGTCTACTTCTTGTTACCGCGTATTGACCTATGTTATAAGAATGTCTACTTCTTGTTACCTCGTGTTGACCTATGTTAAAGAATGTCTACTTCTTGTTACCTCGTGTTGACCTATGTTATAAGAATGTCTACTTCTTGTAACCTCGTATTGACCTATGTTATAAGAATGTCTACTTCTTGTTACCATTGTATTGACCTATGTTATAAGAATGTCTACTTCTTGTTACCTCGTATTGACCTATGTTATAAGAACGTCTACTTCTTGTTACCTTGTGTTGACCTATGTTATAAGAACGTCTACTTCTTGTTACCTCGTATTGACCTATGTTATAAGAATGTCTACTTCTTGTTACCTCGTATTGACCTATGTTATAAGAATGTCTACTTCTTGTTACCTCATATTGACCTATGTTATAAGAATGTCTACTTCTTGTTACCTCGTATTGACCTATGTTATAAGAATGTCTACTTCTTGTTACCTCGTATTAACCTATGTTATAAGAATGTCTACTTCTTGTTACCTCATATTGACCTATGTTATAAGAAAGTCTACTTCTTGTTACCTCGTATTGACCTATGTTTGGTTAATTGAACTTCTTGAGCTTTTCATTTTTTAATTGTATATTTTTTTGTTTATTGGTTGGATTTGTTATTTTGTGTTTTCTCATGTTTTTTCCCCTGATAATTGGAGAAAGAGTCGAATATTTATAATCTTGTATTAAATTAAAGTTTTGACCCGAATAAAAGTTCAAAATCAGTTAAATGACTTAAATAAACGAGTATTCAATTAATGTCCATGTCGTACGAAAAAGGCCCCAGGAAATAGCAGTTAAATAAGGGGATACATTTGTATATTCCCAGGAAATAATACAATTACGAAGTGCGGTTATTATATATACATGTTTGTTATTGTATAATCATTACAACTGTATATTACTGCTTATGTTTATTATCTCATTCCACAAATTTCGACTGTCCAGGTGATGTTCACAGTACGAACTGTCATTAATGACACATTATCACCGCGACCAATCGATAATATGTCCAATATGCGTGCCATATGCAGTGTCGTCCTTCCTCTGGTATCTATACATGATATTGACTTTTGTTCCAGCAAAATGTAAAAAAGCTGTTGGAACTGGCACATGATGCTTTGGCAGATGAAAGTGTCTTAAATAAAATAGGTTAAGTAGACAGATGAACGGAAAACTGACACATTGTAATAAAGAAAGCTCACAAGGCCAAACAAAAAGGATATTTCAAGATAATAATTGAAAAAGTGTTTTATATATATATACAAAATACCTGATTCTCTTCACCAATCCATTCCACACAAGCTTCTAACCAATCATTTGGAGCATTGATAAACTTTGACTTCAGCCATGTTGCGGCAGCTGATATGCAATTGTTCATCTTAAATACATTAACAAAATGCTTTTCATTTCAAGTTTTTTCATTTGTAGGTAAAAAAATTCTTAAATTCTGAAAGTCATTGTAATTTGTGCATAAAACTGTTGTCATGGTTGTATTCACAAATAAGACATTATGAAATTTTAATTAATCTGTAATAAAAAAAAAAAAAACTTGAACTGTGAGCTCTTGCTCACATAGATACACTAATTAAGATATTTGGTGCTGGGGAAGTTGATGGAAATTGGATGTTAAAATGCCTTTCACAGTAAAGCATGCTCACATGATGACTGCCATTAAATTTCCGAGTGCTCTGATCCCTAATTCCTCAGAAAAATGTGAAGAAAATTTCATACATGGTCATTATGTGTAAAAATATATAAGAATTTTACAGGAAGTTGAAGTGTGATGAATCTAAAAATGCATCACATGGTATAGTATGCTCACATGAAGCTTAATACCAAATTTCAGGAGGCTCTGATTTGTGTTTCCTGAGAAAAATATTTCATATGAGGGATGGACACACAGACAGAAGAAAAACGACTGACAGACATAAACCAGGCTTTTAGGCAAACTTTTAATGTGACAAAAGAAAACAATAATCTAAAGGATCTTTGAGCACTTTTACTGCAACAACATAAATAAATAAATCAGAGGTTCTTCTTATGAGAACTTTTATAATGAAAACATACATTTTATAAAAGAACAGAGTTCCAATGTCCCCCATGTTGCACATATCTTATGTATCAAAGAAACAAGGGCGTTAACTAAAAAATACTCTTTTTTTGGTTCTTTAAATCTGTTGATAAATATCTTAAGAGAAATGAATGCTTCAGAGCAAATTCATTGTGATTTCTAATATGATTAATATTTCAAAGGGGCATAATTCTTTTAAAAATAATTTATAGACAAAGATTTTCAAACTCATCCAAGACATTGATGATATAAAACTATGTGAGCCAATGCTCCGTGTTGAAGGCCGTACCTTGACCTATAATGGTTTACTTTTATAAATTGTAACTTGGATGGAGAGATGTCTCATTGGCACTCATGCCACATCTTCCTATATCTATAATATAAATTTCATTCAAATCTGGCAAGAATTGTACACATGAGCATGACAAGAACACTCACAAGGCAATGTTCCATTTAATCAATATTTCCAAGGGGCATAACTCTTTTAAAAAAAAATATCGGCACAGATTTCCAACTCGTCCAAGACATTGCTGATATAAACCTACAATATAAGTTTCATATAAATCTGGCAAGAATTGTACACATGAGAGCGCTAATGATGCAATTTTTCATATAATTGATGTTTCAAAGAGGCATAACCCTTTTTAAAAGAATTGATCGGCATTGATTTTCAAACTCGTCCGAAACATTAATTCTGATATAAACCTATGATATAAATTTTAAAAAAATCTTTTGTCGCAGGCTAGAGGAAAACCAGGACCAAGCCAATAACTGTATTTTATGCCTATGGCCTATTGCTAGCAACAACAGTCATGTTTGTTGAAGCCAATGAAGGATCAAATTCATGGATACAAATTTTAAAGTTGATTCCCTACTAGAAACATTTTAGTAAAGTTTGGAAACAGCATTTTGGCCCAGTAGATCAAAGGGGAAGATTTTTTTAAACGTTTACATCTAGGAATGGACGAAGGATGCCAATACTGTGGGTTCATTAATTTTTTGGGTACCATCCCCAATTTTCGAGGATTTAGAAAAAAAAGTATTTTCTTGGATATCTAATTTCTAGGTTTTTACCAAAGCTTGCATATAAGTATTAAGATTAATTGTACTTTGTTGACATTCAAATTTGTGGTTTAGCACTCCTTCGAATTCCACTAAAATTGGTATCCCACAAATAAAGATGAATCCACAGTAGCTCACATGGCCTTTGGATGTTGGATGTGTACCGATTGATATTTTAGTCTTAGATGCATGATATTTTTTTTATTAGTTGTAATTGGCTTTGAACTAGCTGTCAGTAACTGCAAGTACTCTCAGATCTGTACTTAGTGTCTTTTTGTTGTGGGGATGTATAAGTACCCTGCCATGTCCACTCTGTGTTTTTGTAACTTGTTTTGCATCTATCTGATGAGTTAAGCCCTTTTCAACTGATTTTTATAGTGTGTTCATGTGTTGTACTGTTACACCACTGTCCTAGGTTAGGGGAGGGTTTGGCGCCCGCTAACATGTTTAACCCCGCCACATTCTGTATGTGCCTGTCCCAAGTCAGGAGCCTGTAATTCAGTGGTTGTCGTTTGTTGCTGTATATCATATTTGTTTTTCGTTCATTATTTTGTACATAAATCAGGCCGTTAGTTTTCTCGTTTGAATAGTTTTACATTTGTCATTTCGAGGCCTTTTATAGCTGACTATGCGGTATGGGCTTTGCTCATTGTTGAAGTCGTACTGTGACCTATAGTTGTTAATTTCTGTGTCATTTGGTCTCCTGTGGAGAGTTGTCTCATTGGCAATCATACCACATTTTCTTATTTTCATATTTATAGCCTTCTTGATTCAAAATTTCTTTAAAAAAAATCATGCTTTTTTTTATTCCCACTTACTTTACCATATTTATCATCTGAAACTGTTGAAAATAAACATGTCAGAGTTAAATCAAATGTTTTATTCTTTATTTTCCGACTGATTTAGACAACTTTTCCACAAATTTCCACAAATTTCCATAAATGCACAAATAAAATAAAAAAAATAGGATCAGAGGTCTGAGACAAGACGGTCTGAAGGCATAAAACAAGCATTTTTTTTTTGGCCTGAGATACTGATTTCAAGGATGGTGTTGATTTCATGTTTGGGAAAGAAGTCTATGAATTTTATTAAATAAATTTAAACAAAACATTGTTGTTTTCTGTTCAGGCAATTATAATTATCTTTGATCTACCAAAATTTAACCCTTAGACTGCTACGGGCAACTATTCTTGTTCAGATAAAGCAGTCTACCATTGCTATGGACGACTATTGTCTTTTCCATAACTCGTTTCTTTATACAGTTACCATGGAATGGGCGAAGTCAATATTCATGAGATTGCAGCATTTTAGACTTGTAGAGATTTTGATTGGTTAGAATTCAGGGTATTTTCGAGTTTCTCTGGACTTTGAATCAACTGTAAGCAAAAAAACTGAAAGTGAAAAATTGTGATAAAAAAAGGTTACAAAATTGCGGATATTATTTTGAGTGATTGCCAACAGGTTCAGAATTATTTCAATGATAACGGCGTGACAGCCGCAGCCAATTTGAAGGATATGGACGAGAACAGAAGGTATGATAGATGGAAATAGAAACATTCTTGCAATCTGCCAACAGAGGACTTTTATCCGAGAACCACAGGAATTTCCGAGATGTACCAAACGGATGTACATGATAGGATTATGATGTTTATCATTGTGCTAATCAACTGTGAATCAAAATTGATCACTGAGATAGATAGTTCCAAACCTTTTGTTCAGGGGTTTCATTATCTTTCATGTTGACCAGTACATTTCTATTTAAAGGTGGTACTTTTCAATATATTCAATGAACATCTTATATAAAAATTTCTGAATTCAGGCGGTACTTACATGACTTATCAGTAGCATATATAGGAGGGTAAAAGTACCGGGTAACACCTCTCTAATGAATGGCCTGTTTGTTTGTTTAAGATTATTTATTGAGGAAACCTTTATCAAATAACATGTTGGCTAAACTTATATATAGTAATCTCAAATCGTACTTTCATGTTAATTTGACCTGTTGATACAATTTGTAATGTATTTTTGTTATTTAATGTTTACTTATTTAGTGTTATATCTAGTCTCACTATTTTTAATATATATATATGCCACCTTTGATTAGTGTTTAGTATGACGATAAATTTTCACTTTTGTTCTCGTACTTGGAACAACAAAATTATTTATTTTGTTAAAATTATTTCCGTACTCCATGTATACCTTACAACAAAATTATTTTAATTTACCCGTGTACGTTATTTTATTTGGCGGCATTTTGTCCAAGGTTATGGTTGTCTTTCTGATATTGTTTTACATCTAACCCCCTTGTTTTATTAATATTGTATTTACATTGTGTCATAGATCAAATTTATTCGTTCAGTGTATGTTCACTTGTTTTTGTTAATATGTCTTTTGATTGAGTTAAGCCATTTCAATTGATACTTTATAGTGTGTCTTTCTAGGTTGTGATGTTACACTATTGTTTCAGGTAGGGTGAAGGTTGGTGCCTATTAAAACATTTAAACCAGCTGCATTTGTTTGCACCTGTCCTAAGTCAGGAACCTGTTGTTCAGTGGTTGTTGTTTGATAATGTGGTTCATAAGTATTTCTCGTTTCTCATATAGATTAGACCATTGGTTTTCCTGTTTGAATGGTTTTACACTACTCACTAGTCATTTTTGGGGCTCTTTATAGCTTGCTGTTTGGTGTGAGCCTAGGCTCCATGTTGAAGGCCGTACTTTGACCTATAATGGTTTACTTTTACAAATTGTGACTTGGATGGAGAGTTGTCTCATTGGCACTCATACCACATCTTCTTATTATCATCATGAATTGTTCCATATTTTTCATGTCAGGGCCTTTTATAGCTGACTATGCGGTATGGGTTTTACTCATTGTTGAAGGTTGTACGGTGACTTATAATTGTTTATTTCTGTGTCATTTGGTCTCTTGTAAAGAGTTGTCTCATTGGCAATCATGCCACATCTTCTTATTTTTATATGGAAGTAGAAGTTGGCAGTGCAAGTCTGAAGGAAAATAGTTTATACATGAAAAGGGCGACTGGGCTGAGATGAAAGTTTTTCCTTTTGATAACCAAAATGGAACTAGTTTATCAAAAAAGATTTCAACAATATTGGTCCAATTCTGAATTCATAGACACATTTGCAAAGTTTTTACATTTATGGACTCGTGAATAAAACATAAAATTCTGAACATTATAAAAATAAGGAGATACAGTATGATTGGCAATGAGACAACTAACTACC